CGCCTGGCTAATTTTTGTATTTTAGTAGAGACAGGGTTTCACCATGTCGGCCAGGATTGTCTCGACTCCTGACCTTGTGATGCCGCCCACCCTTGGCCTCCAAAGTGCTGGGATTACAGCGTGAAACCCGCGCCGCAGACCCCGGAGTTTTTGCTTTTACTACTTCTAAAAATTTCCTAGGAGAGGCCAGGCATGGTGGCTCACATCTGTAATCCCAGCACTTTGGGAGGCTGAGTTGGGTGGATCACTTGAGCTCAGAGTTCAAGACCAGTCTGGGCAACACAGTAAGACCCAGTCTCTACAAAAAATACAAAAATTAGCTGTGCATGGTGGTGTGTGCCTGTAGCCCCAGCTATTCAGGAGGCTAAAGTGGGAGGTTGGCTTGAGTTCAGGAGGCAGAGGTTACAGTGGGCCGAGTCCAGCCATAGAATTGGTTTTAATAGTGTTATGGATGGAGGATTTTGAAACTGTAATCTAGTATTGCTCAAATAGGCAAGTGCATTACAGATAATGGGGGTCAAGGTTTCTTACTGTCAACAGAGAGAGTTACAAATATGGAAAAGGAAAAGCTAAAATTAATCCTGTGGTGTTAGAATGGAACTGGAGGTTTCAGTAGGAACTCACGGTTTTTTATATAGATGATAGAGATATTGGTATATGCATCGTACAGTTTTTTTCTGGTCCTGTCCACTAAGACAGCCTAGAAGTAATGACATCCCACTAGCAATGTGCACACGCCAGCACCCAGATCTCAGTTCTAAATTCCAGTCTCCACTAGAAGGGTTCCCTGGAGAAATGGCTGCTTCCAACACTACAGTCAGGAAAGTAAGATTAACCTGAAACATCTTGCTATGCCAGAAAGTAAGAAAGTACTCAAAGAATGACAGAACATCTCCCCAAGTCACAGAAGCCAGCTTGAAGGGACTCCCACTGGCCAAACTTGGGATCATCTGAGCATCAAAAGAAATAACAGTAGTAACAAAGTATGGCCTGGCACAGCGGCTCATGCCCGTAATCCCAGAACCTTGGGAGGCTGAGGTGGGCGGATCACCTGAGGTCAGGAGTTCGAGACCAGCCTGGCCAACATGGTGAAACCCTGTCTCTACTACAAATACAAAAATTAGCTGGGCATGGTGGTACATGCCTGTGATTCCAGCTATTCGGGAGGCCGAGGTGGGAGAATCGCTTGAATCTGGGAGGAAGAGGTTGCAGTGAGCCGAGATTGTGCCACTGCACTCAAGCCTGGGTGACAACAAGGCTGTGTCAAAAAAAATTTCTGGGTTTTAATATTTGTACTGTGGTTATATAAGAGAACATCCCTGGGTTGGGTTTTTTTTTTTTTTTTTTTTTTTTTTGGTGGAGTCATGCCACTCTGTTGCCCAGGCTGGAGTTCAGTGGTGTGATCTCAGAAACTATGATTGCTAAATCAATATTTACTTTTATGCTAACGTGTGCATGTACATGACTAGTTTTTTTTTTTTTTTTTTTTTGGGAAATACTTAAGTATTTATGGGTGAAAAGAAACCATATTCACGATTTGCTCTCAAACTATGCACACATATATATATATATAAAAACTCCCACACATCCACAGAATGGAGGACAATCTGGATGACAGTATACAGGAAATCTTTGTATTATTTTTGCAACTTTTCTGTGAGTCTGAAATTACACTAAATTTTTATTTTTTATTTTTCAAGTCAGTCAGATCATTTCTTAACCTGCCTCAAGCCCCTCGATAACTTCCCATCTCACTCAATAAAGTCCTTCCAGGCCCTAAAGGAAGTGGCTCTCCTCTGCCTGGCCCTTCTCTCCCTCACCCACTGCTGCCCCTCCTCAGCACCCCAGGCCTCCCTACTGCTCCCCAGACAAGACAAGTGTGCTCACACCTCAGGGCCTTTGCGCCTGCCATGCCCCCAGCCTGCGGTGCTCCTCCCCTAGACATGCCTGCTCACTCCCTTCCTTCCCCTCTTCCAGTCCCTGCCCAGACATCACCTTCTCAGGGAGGCCTTCTCCAACCTTCTCTGACCACCTGATTGATTGATTGATTGATCGATCGATGGAGTCTCACTCTGTTGCCCAGGCTGGAGTGCAGCTCACTGCCCGAATTCAGCTCACTGCAACCTCCGCCTCCCGGGCTCAAGCAATTCTCTTGCCTCAGCCTCCTGAGTAGCTGGGATTACAGGCATGCGTCACCATGCCTGGCAAATTTTTGTATTTTTAGTAGAGACGGGGTTTCACCATGTTGGCCAGGCTGGTTTCGAACTCCTGACCTCAAGTGATCTGCCCGCCTCGTCTGGCCACCCTATTTAGAAGCCCACCTCATCAGCCCTTCTCTCTCCCTGTGCTTCATTTTTCTTCACAGCACCGGTCAGGCATTGCTGTTTTAGATCTGTTTATGGACGTGCCCTCCTCCTAGGAAGGAAGCCCTCTGAGGGCACAGACATTGTCGGTCTGGGTCCCTGCTGTATACCCTAGAATACTGCCTGGAAGGTAATAGGCGCTCAATAAATATCTGCTGAGTGATTGAATGAATGGCGTTTCCCCACCCGCAGCCTCTTGCTGCTATCTGAGCTCACATATATTGAACACTTCACTGGTGACTGATACTATGCCAAATATATTAATACATGCTACTTCATTTAACCCTCCCATAACCTTATGGGATAGAGACTTTTACCTCCATTTTACAGAGGAAGAAACTGAGCCACCAAGAGGTTAGGCAACTTGCCCAAAGTCACATGCCTTGAACCTAGGCACAACTCAGTCCTCCCAGCCCGGGCCCCACTGTTTCCTCAGCCCGCCCCAGACTTGCCAGCACAGAACATGTTGTCAGTGATGCGGATCCGAGTAGAGTCCTTGCAGACCGACCGCTCCACGATGGGCAGGTTCACCACCTGCAGGACACTGGGCTGCACCTTACCAACGTTGGCCGTCCACGTCTCCTTCAGGTTGCCCCAGCCTGTCACCCGCCCCTTGTATCCAGCCTGGAACAAGCTTTGGGGAAGGAAGAAGGGCCTGGTGAGAGCCAACCCTCGCAGGAGCCGCCTGGCCCCAACGCCATTTCTTAGAGACCAGAATCTAAAACGTCCGTGCTGGCAGGGCACGGAGGCTCACGCCTCTGCTCTCGGCACTTTGGGAGGCTGAGGCGGGCGGATCACTTGAGGTCAGGGGTTTGAGACCAGCCTGGCTGACATGGTGAAACCCACCAGTCTCTACTAAATATACAAAAATTAGCCTGTAATCCCAGCTACTCAGGAGGCTGAGGCAGGAGAGTCGCTTGAACCTGGGAGGAGGGGTTGCAGTGAGCCCAGATCGCACGACTACACTCCAGCCTGGGAGACAAGAGTGGAACTCCGTCAATAAATTATTTATTATGTTTATTTAACATAAATAAAAAATAAAACGCCAGTGCTGAAAAGAACTTTTGGGTTCACTCCAAGAAACTGAGGCCTGGAAAAGGGAAAGGGGCTCTGCAAGGCTGCCTGGTATCAGAGCCAGGCCCAGAACTCGGCTTCTGCCCCTCAGCTAATAAGCGTCTGGTTGCCCACCTGGCTGCCGTCTCCCTGTCGGGCAGGCACACAGGGTGGATGTAGTCGCTGAAGGTAACGGGCTTCTTCAGCTTCATCAGGGCAATGTCCCGGTCCAGGTTCTCCCGCCAGTTGTACCTGGGGTGGATGTAGATCTTTTCCAGCATGGATATCTTTTCAATGTTTCGCTCATACCTGCAGAGACCCCAAGAGAGAAATGGAGAAGCTGCAGGTTCACC